ATTTTCGAGTCGCTTTTACCAAACAAGGCTAATTCATTGCTCTTGTTTATCATGAAAAATTGTATTGAAATTGCCAAACGGTCACGATTTACCACACTATTAACTTGTGTACAAGTTCATCAAATTATCAACCGCAAGCGAAGATGACTTGGATTTCAGTTATCGGATATTAAATTAAAGTACCGTTTCGCTGAGTTTGATCTGGAAATATTTTCAAATTAATTTAATAATCATGCAGCAATTTCAATTTTATGTGAAAATAAGTGGGTTCGGTTAAGAATTTCGTTCTGTTTCACTGATTTTGTGATCCCGATTCGTAAGTAGGACTGGCGTTGAAAATAATAGAACTGAAAGTGATGATATGATATTGATTCTTCTGCTTTATATAAGTGCAAAATGAAATTTGGAAGATGTAAAATTTAGTTGCCTGAAATTTTCGTTATGTCAGTAATTTTGTTCTGAGCACATGGATGCTGAAAACAGAATACCTATAATTAGAGAGGGTTGTCACATTGACCTTCCATTAGAAGTATGACAGAAAGGAATACATTTTCTAAACATGTTCCGTATTGAAATTCTAGATATCAATGCATTATATTTCTTAATAATACTCCAGGATGTCCAGCGAGAGCGTTGCGTGTCATATTAGGAACCAATCAGCAAAGTACTAACAGAAAATATAGGATTTTATGGGTATATACCAAGTGGTTCAGAAGTCATTATACGAAACATAGTTCTCTAGAACCGTCTTCATTGCTGAATCGCNTAAAAAGGTTGATCTATTTATTAAAACACATTTTAAGAGTCTTGTTATGAGAATATTCTGAAAATCTAGTTATTTCATTATCGAATAATGAATTAACCACAAATTTTTAATACTGGATGAATCAAAATAGAAAAACCGGTTTTTCAAATGGAAGAATCACTTAACATTTTTTTCAAGGTGTGATTTTTCTCTGAAAACTCTTTAGAAAATATCGGATTATATAGATAAGTACCTCCAAAAGTTGAGAGTTTCAAAATATATTATTTTCAACATTAAATGAACTTTTTTAGCAAAAACTTCAGAATATGGACTGACCCTTTACTTGTTGAAAATTAATGACACTATCCATGATCATAAGTTCCTCGCTAGAAATGAATATTATATACTGGGCTACAATTCTTATATACAAAAGTTAGTAAGTACATAACTTAATTGAATTAATAATGAAGGCGATAACATGTAGAATTTGTAAACCAATTACAATCTCAGTCCTTGGAGAGCAAGTAAATTTTGAGATAACAGGAAGAATTCGTGAAACAATTACAAAATTTCAGTTTTTGTGCTGCAGATACATTTTTGAATATGAATACAATTATTGGCATTATGAAAACTTGTTCAACAATGGTGTTCTGGTTCCCTGTTGGTCGTTCAACAGGGGACCAGAAAGTTTACCCTTATTGATTTCTAGAGACTAGCAGGTTCAACTTCTGTTCCTTACCCACTACATACTGTTGAAATCATGATCGTTCAGTTCACCTGGACATTGAAAGTTTCTTTTGTCATTGCAATATTATATCAATACTCTCATATCATTTTTGTGTTGCATTTCTGTATACGATATCAGTTTCAATTAGTGTAAACTTCCAAAAAAGTTCAATGTTTACGTATTTTAAATTAATTATGAAAGAAACTTTTCCTTCATTTCCAATTTTTCCATTTTCTGTATAATAGAAAATTGAAAAGGGGAAGAAAATCAAGCAGCAAAATCAAGAATGAGGGTAAACCACCTCTAATGCTGAAATATTATGAGTTATTCTGTAACACCCTACAGCTGTTAATTTTCAAAAATTATTCTGAAATTTCTCGCAAACTACAAAGACTGAATATTAAAGTCTGAAGACGAAAATAAGTGTCTATAACTAAATTATCCTTCCATCAACCAAGAAAGCTTTCAAAAATTCAAACGTTACACCAACCGAAAAATACTAGACCAAATCATTCTTTCTTTGGGTAAATGATAATGCTTCAAATAAAACTAATGAAGAAAAGGGGGAGGGGGGCCGAGTTCAGAACCCTTGAGACATTCTATGTTTTCTTAAGATTCCAATAGAGGTAGGTTGAGAAATTTATGAAATTGAAAGTAATATTGCAAATAAATCGAGTAGGGACAAAATTCTGAAATTATTTCTTCAACACAAGTGCAAAACCGTTAATACATACTTCTTAAAGAGATTATAAAAGAGAAACAGTGTCATACTTCTCATGGAAACACCCCTGTATCTTTCTGTAATTATGGGGTCTAACTCTGTAAATATCAGGACCGGCGACGAGTATAAATCTTCACTAGGGTTGATCTTAGAGACATAGACGGCTCTCCAGGAGCTATGAAATCACACAGTTTTGAGAAAAATAGTATTAGGGGACAATACAGGTTTAAAATTCCAAAGAATTCAGAATCAGAACTTCAATTTTACTACCAATACAGATTTTTCGCTGAAAACTTCGGAAAAAACCAATTCATCTCACTCAACTGTTATTTCCCCTCCAAGCGAACACATTTTTCTATGCCCCTTTCATTATTTCATTCAACTCTCCTCAGCTCTCTAGGTGGGATTTTTCTGCAGGCTTTTATAATTGGTTGACCTATCCTCATTGCAATGTTCGACGTTTCAGCTTCGACTCTGAAGCCATTTTTAAGAAGTAGAAAAAAGTGGCCGTACTGAGAGATATACTTGGGTTTTGATGTTCTGGTCTTGCAGAACCTTCGAGGCAGTATGACACTCATTGACCCATGTTTCATCCAAATGAAAATAGGTATACCCAGCATTCTGGCTTTCTTAATTCTCTCAAATAGTAACTTTTCCATTGACAGTGGTGGATATTGTATTTTTAAAGACTTATAAACATTCATAACAATTGTTTTTTCATAATGCTGACAGTTTCGGATGCTTCACGGTTCCCGAACAACAAAGCTTCCATGTCGTATGGCTTTTTATTCAACGCGCCTTCGAAATAAACTGAAGAATATTACTAAAGCTCTGTTACTCCAGCAAAGCAAAGTACAAAAATCGTATCTAGAAAATGCCAAAATTAGGTACTTTTTAGGTACCGAAATAAAAAATTAGGTGCTCTGTACCACCGCAACTCAATACTCAAAGTTGCGTTGCTAGCATTATGTGATGCTAGCAACGCAATGAAAATAATAATGAAATAATGAATGTTGAGGGAACACTATTAGGTGCTTATTAAGTGCTAAACGGTGAGGATCGTAAAATGTTCTAATTAATATACAAAAGCTTCCAATTTCGCTAAACAACAGATTTAAGAATCAGGTCTCCCGAAAACGAGGACGAATGCTCTATCAGGTATAAACTAAGCGTGGTAATGAAGTGCTAATTAGGTGCTTGCAAGAAATTAAAATGAAAACGACCGCGAATAAGCGAAAAAAAAAATCAGACACCTGATTTGAGAAAAAAAATTAACAATATGCAATAAAGTCTTGAGATGTAAACTAATACATAGACAACCAAAATAAAGTGCTAACTAAGTGCTCACTAGATATTCATAGTAAAACTAGATTCTTCAATGCCTATGGGGCTCATGGACCTGAAAACCACCATGGCTGATGTACTGAGTTTTTATAAAATGGTAAGATGCTAATTTTTTTTAAATAGTGGTTTACAAGAGTCCAGTGGACGAGACTTGTCCATACAGCAAATTACTCTTTTCTAAAGCTTAAAAATGTGGTCAGTGTATGCAGAGTTACCCCAGAAGATCAATCCATACGGTAGCCTTGATTATACCAGTCCATGATACATGAGTTTCATAACTTCTGTAGAGACAGTGTCTTGCAGATTCCGAATTGCGTAGTTTGCACTGTCAACCCTTACACATAAACTGTCAATATGTGCCTCCCATGTTAGCTTTTCATCCAGGAGTATTCCTAAGAATCTAGCTACCTGATAGTATTCCAGAGTTTCACCACAGACTTCGATGTTGTTCATTAGATGTGGATTTGAGGTACCGTTTTTGAGTAAGAAATTGATAAACTTGGTTTTCTTTATTTTGCAGACAAGGTTATTGTAGCTACAGTATTTACTGAATTCATCACATGCATTATTACCCAAGTTTTACAGACTTTCCAAGTTTTTATGGGCTAGGAGTATATTTGTGTCATCAGTGTAAAGTACCATTCTATTTGGTGTGGTACACTTATCGTAGATATCATAAAGTTATTAACGTAGCCGTGAAAAATAATTTTAATCATCTCCTGATGATACTAACAAAACGAGACATTTTTGTTCTGATTTCAATAGATTGTCTTCTTTGCAACATTGTTTGCAGAAAATGCAGTAGTGTTTTGTGATTCGCCACCATTTCATTCTTGCAAACGTTACTTGAAAGTAAAGAGTCAATGAAGAAGTATCATTCTGGTCTTTTGGAATTGATTCTCATGCATTCATGTTAAAATTTTGAAGTTTCAGTTCAAAAACCACAATTCAGGGAGATTAATCTTGTTTTATCTTCGTTCTATGTCTAGTCTTATAGCTTTTCCAATTTCGCTATATGTATGGCAATGGTTTCAATGAAATGCTATTCTTTAATCCCAACAAAACTGGCTATTCAATATGCCTTGGCATCTATTCAGTTTGCTGCTTGTAAATACAGTGCAGTTTGTCCCATATCTTTTGAAAAGTTAACCAGAGTAATAAATTACCTCATTAGATTACTGTCGCTGGATATAAGATTTTGGGTAAGTTCTTGAATTTACTTAACGATAATTTTGATTTCTCTTACTCAACTGCATTCATTCCACCATGTACTTTGAACCGAATTTTTTATTGGAATTTCCAGTCCATTCAATTGGACTGGCCTCTTGGTTTATAGACCAGAAATATTGAAACTTCCATTCTCAAGTAGTATCAAAAAATAACTTTCACTGTTTTACAGTTATGAGCCCATAATCAGTTTTAATTTAAGCAGGCAGGGCCTGAGAATAGATTTAAAGTAGAGAACATATTTAAAAAACTATAATCGAAATAAACTGTGACAGAATCATAAACCTTCTTAACAGATACCAAAATAACACTTCAAAGAAAACTAAATTCAGTTTACATGGCAACAAACCTACTCTCCAACTAATATACACAAAGCAATACATTTACCTTTAGCCGTCTTTATGGTATTATATTTTGAAGAAAATACTCTATAAAGGTTATAGTCATCTACGTCAGGACTCAAATCTCCAACCCAAACTGAAAACTCTCTATCGATAAGAGATCTTCCTGTATTACTTGCATTGTTCAGTCTGAATCTGACCATAGGAGAGGTACCAGGTATAGGCTTGGAATTGAGCTTGTGCATGGCATCGATTGCCTCTTCATCATTGGCAAAATGGACAAATGCATATCCAGCAGGTTCGCCAGTGAATTTATTTCTCATTACTTTAACACTCATAGGATTTTCGCCCATTTTTCTGAATGCGGTCAAAATGAATGTCTCAGTCATGTATGACTCCAGCTGAAATGTTTCAATTTGTAGAGGGGCATTTTCAATTCATGGCAAATATTTACTCACACTACCCATCCAGAGTTGGCAATGTACCATGCTAACCATTTTCGATAGGTTTTGAATAACTTTAGCTTGAAAATGAAATAGGTTTCTGGTTAACTTAAGCGAAAACGACACCGAATTTTCAAATCCACTAGGAAGCTTTTTCAACTTTTGTCACAATTCTGTGCTTTTGTTTTGTTTTTTTTTCAATTATATTCATCTGTTCATCTTACTAAATTTCTTGGCATCAGTTACCAGTGCTTTTCGACTGTGAAGTTCCCTTTTGTTGATAGGGATGTTGGTCGACTAGGCTTGTCAAACGGTAAAACAAAAACAAAGCATTGTCAGCTATCGTTACAAATTGTTGTTCTGTAAAAATTACTATACATTATCCACAAAATAGTCGAACCGACAAACACTAGTGTAACAAATTCGCGGTTCAATAATTCAGAACACAGCAAACCAAAAAAAAATCAACATACATTTCATGACCACCAGTGCCCTCATCGGTAAAATGTTTTCCTCGTTCTATAGTACAACGAAAATTCGCATGCTTAGTATGAGACTTTTTGTTAGGAAAAGGGTAAAAAACAAAGAATTTCTGAATCAATTGATTTCAACTTTGGGCGAACTTTTCAGCAGAAAATTTCCGATGGATTGTTTCAACTGATAGAAACGCGCTAACTTTTCAAATTTATCAATAGACGAATCTATCGGATCAGCGACTGACTTTTTTTTTGTGTCAACGGCATCGACTATTTTGTTATTAGCCTAATTGATATTACTCAGGGTAAATTTAACAGTTCGTCCTCTCAACAGAATGTAAAAAAACGTGTTACTTTTCATTTATTTATTATTTATTGATACGTACGATCGATTTGACGCGTGTGACCTTGGTCTTTTGCAATATACTCTTAAAAAGAAAGCGTGTAGGGTTTGCTTATTCACAGAATATTTATAATCGCATCAATTTCTCTAGAAAATAAAAACTCGCGTATGTTTCAGTTTTGAAATCTTCTAATTTTAACGCGTACATTTGAAAAACAGAAATTGTAGTATCAAAATCTACCAGTGTTATTTAGACAAAAGTGTTTTTATTCATTTCATTTAAGTGATCATGAATTACCATAAAGTAAACAAGTCATCAATCACACATATTAACGAACTAGTGAAAACTGTTTGGAAATCAAATTCAATGTGAAATTTCTTTACAATAAAAAGAAGGAAAATGCCGAATATTGAAACCTGCCAAAAAACTTATCCTCGGCGGTATTTGATGGACACATAAATCGTTACATCCCATAGTTCCAATTTTTAATGAGAGAACGGTTCAGAGTTGTCATAATATAAGTATCCGATGCTCTCTGATTGTTTTTATTATTACTCTCAATCCCCATGGCCCCTCCCGGGTTGAGTGCCCTGAGTTGAAATCTTCCCCACACGGTTACTGTCCGGGTTGAGTGCCCTGAGTTGAAATCTTCCCCACACGGTTACTGTGTGCAGAACATTCCATCTCGTCCATCCACCCCCGCTCCTCCGGAGTGGTCCTCAACTTACTGATGGGCACTTCAGCAAGATTGACATCTGACCTCTTTTGTTCGAAAGTCAGCCTTTAGGTGCTATTACTATCTGATCTGTTGAATTATTTTATCATGACTTTCATAACTGAATTATTGCATGGGGTTCCCAAAAACTAACCGGAGACAAGTGTCTTTTTAATCGCGAGCGAGTCTTGGTTTCTATTACATCTGAAAATAGACTGAATCTGAATCTGGTTGAAAAATTTGTATACTTACCGGAGCCGCCTGACAGCGACTCTCGGGGTGCTCTTTGGTTTTGCTTCATTGGCCTCCTATGTTTGTCCCTCTCTGTGAATCTGGGGTCATCCCTGTTTAGAGCGTCATGTAGGTCGCTTAGCGCTGGGTTGTCGTACGCTCGAATTCTGTCAAACGTGTCCTCTGCGTGTTTCCTCATGTATGCATCCACGTAGTGTATTTTCAGGTCTAGATCCCGGAATATGTACCTTTTTGGTACATATTCCGGTAAGGACCGCGTTTATGGCGGTCCTTACCCAAGCGTTCATAAACGACTGGATCTGTTTTCTGTATTTCGCTGTGCCCTGGCCCCAGGCAGTGCAGGCATACAGGATTATCGGTAGTATTACGCTCTTTATCGTCAGCAGTTTTACTTTCAGTCCCATGTTGCTTCTTCGACCTATTATTGGTAATAAGTTTTGTCTGGCAGATCTCGCCATTCCTATTCTCTGCCGTACGTGACACCTGAACGTTAATCTTTTGTCTAGGTTGACCCCCAAGTATCTAGCTTCGTTGGTCCACGGAATCTCTTGTCCGTTGAAGATGGCGTTTCCTTCCAGGTGTACCATCCTCCAGGTGAACAGTATTGCCTGACTCTTGTTAGGGTTTATACTGATCTTCCACAGGTTGACCCATTCCTTTAATCTATCTGCCTGTTGCTGCAAGTATCCCGTGACGTGCGCTTGGCTTGTTGATCTCGCCAGCAGAGCTTTGTCTTCCGCGTAGAGCGCCAAATTTTTAAAGTTGTTTTCCGGCACGTCTGCTGTTTATACCGAGAAGAGGTGTGGCGAAAGGACTGCACTTTGTGGGACCTCTGCTTTCAGTAATCGCAGCGTTGAGAGTTCTTGTCCTACTCGATTAATCTTACCATTGGTTTCGTGTAATGTGACTTTGACTCTCCGTTGCCAGGCAACGCGAACCACCACGACCGCCCGGCTCGACTTGCCAGATATATCAAAGAGTGCAGGCAGTTGGTGTATTCTTTGGTTATTTTTTGGGAAAGAAAGTTTTTGGCTTTCTACTACTCCATCTTGATACAAAAAACAAGGACGAGGGAATCTTCCAAGGAAAGGAAGGAAGTAATCAATTTCAAAATAAGTAACTCTATACATGGATGTGTAGATCATGCAAAGAAGTAACTTTCAGACACAAACTGAAAGAAAGTCCTCCTGAAACAGCTACTTTCATATAAACATTGAACTCTCAACGATGCGATTACTGGAAGCAGGGGTCCCACAAGGTGCAGTCCTTTCGCCACACCTCTTCTCGAATTATAAACATTGGTTATATTCTGTTATTTCGGCGCCGAATACATGCATACACCGTTACCTCGTAAGTTTTTCATTAAAACAATGTCTTAACTAGGTGATCTGTACAAAAGACCTATTTGCATAGTATAAGAAAAATTTTAAGATTCTTTGTAGGTACTAAAAAATACAAGTGATTTTGGGTGTGTGATGGAAGTTAGAAACCTCACCACGTATCACCAAGGGGGAGAGGGGTTAATATAAATGCTAAAAAATATCACTGGAGTCCATTATATTATTATTGATAATTATAATTGAGGTTTGGTTTTTCTGAATGTTCATGAGATAACCATGAATGGCGCTAGCGTTTGGAAAAAGTTATTCGAATTCAAGATTGAATCGTGTTCGAATTGTGGACATATAATATTTGACATATTTGACATATGGGTAATATTGAGATGAATGTGTGATGTTGGTATTATGATTGTAATTAATGGAAATTTCTGAAATATCATGTTGACATATATGTTTTGTTGACGCAATCTTCTGTCAAAAACAAAACACTCACTTCTATTTCTGTTTAAAATCTGTTTTTCCGTTAATCAGCTGTCGCCCCCATACGAACGATAACTCTCAGAAGTTGAGGAACTTGTGCGAGCTAAGGACTAATGAGGTCTTGCCTTTTAAAGTATGATTCCTAACACTTGGTGACATACCTTTTTGAGCAGGCAGTAAAAGTTTAATTTTCGATAAATGGATGGATGTAGTCGTTACTATATAGTGGTGGGAGATCATCATGAGAAATGAGAAATAAAACTTGTTTTTTACCACTTTCATTTGGACCTACTTGTTATGCAGTTTGGAACCTTTGGTATAGTAATGAATATTACTGGTTTTATTCTATCACCAAATCGTTATTTTTAACACCTCAACACTAGTGATCATCTTCAAGAGGAAGTTTGATCGAAACACGCGTCGAGGTGTTAAAATAACAGTTTGGTGTTGGGATAAAGCTCCGGAAATTTTCACTAACTAACGTTACTGCAGTTTCGTTCTATATAAGGAAATTTTCAAACAATTACACTAAAAAGTCAAATGGTAAAAAAACAAAAAGTTTTATTGCTCATTTTTCATGTTTAAATTTTGTCAAATTTCAATTTGATTATCATCAAAATCATTTTTACTCAAAGCAAAAATGTTGACCACTTATTCTTTTTATCGCAGATAAATACTTTAAAATTACAATTTTGATTCAAGCAGATGTTGGTTGTATCTCTTTAAATTATGTAATTCATAAATAACAATATGTTGAAAGCAGGTTTCAAAAATACCTATTGAGAAAACGCTATTAATAACTGAAATTTTCCGCGTTGCAATATTTTTTTTCTCGATTAAAATGAACGTAGAAAATCGTTAAAACGAGTAGTTGCGAAATGCGTTCAAGAATTGACATTGAGGAAACTATATATTCCATTCTCAGAGTAATAATAAGACACAGAGTTGCCATGCATATACATGCCTATACCTCAGAGTAATAATAAGACATAGAGTTGCCATGCCTATTCCAATACAATACATGTATTTTGAAACTGGTATAATACTATCCTTTTCTGTATAACGTATTGGCTAGGAGGGTGGCGGGTAATGAGACGTTATGGAGAGTTTGTTTACATTTGAAGTAAGTGGGACCATAAAACAGTGGCGGTTGGTTTATGATAATCGGAGAGATATTATATATTTATAAAATACATCATTTCAGGTGAAAATGTATTCTGTTCAAATATACATTTTTATTTATGTATGGCTTTATAATAAAATGAGTGGTTTACTGGATTAATTGTTCATTGATCTTATAAATGAAGTTTTTGAAACTAGGTTTACATTATTTCATTATTTGACATATCCCAACCAAAAAGAGGTTGAAAAAATGACAACCATCATTTCTTATTGAATATTGTCTGTATGCAACTCGAAAGCCTCGTGCAAGCATATAGAGAAAAATCAAAACGGAGATCATATTCTTTGTGTGACGTAAGTTAGTTGTTGAGTGAGCAATAACAGATATAACACTGGTTACACAAGAATAACTATTTAGTATACAAACTGAACATTGAACAGAAACCTTTTCAAACATATTTTTGAATACATTTTTTTTTATTTACATTAATGATTTTTCGTAATTATAGAATTCGTCAGCATGAATTATTGAAAAAAAAAACATAACGTCGGTCAACAAAGACCTCTAGATACCAATTTTGAATGAAATCATATAATAATATCAAACCTCAATCGTAATTATAAATATTTAAGATTTCTAATCGGAAATTCTTTATATCGGACCTCACAAACCATACCGCTTGTTTATCAAATCTGAGAATAAATCACAAATTTCTTCATCTGATTTTATTAAGCAAAGTTCATTACTTTTGAAATTAACATTTATCATTGTTATGAATTAGTTCATTTGAATGGTTTATTTTATAAATATATAATATCCCTCCAATCAACCAACCGCCACTGTCTTACGGTCCAACATACTTCAAATGTAAACAAACTCTCCATAATCTCTCATTACCCGCCACCCCCCTCGACCATAAGTTGTACAGAAAAGGATAGTACGATACCCGTTTCAAAACACATGTATTGGTATAGGCACCGTACAGGCTGACAACTCTATGTCTTATTATTACTCTGAGGTATTGCCAAACATGTGGATCCATTTTCACGTCAACCAATAAATGAATCCGTTGAATCAACCAGTGAATTTAAGAACTCGTTTGACATAGAACAATTTTCAAGAGAATTACGCGTGTGCCGACTCATGCGCTTTAACATGACAAACCCTATTTTTTCCTGGGTTTGTTTATTATTCGATTTTCTCTTCCAAACAGAAATAATTTTCTATTAAAAGGCAGCAAAACTACTGCCATTGAATCTTGAATCTACTGAGGTGCATCAGTACAAATTGATAAGTGCCAAAATATACTGAATGTTTTGTTGTTGTTCTGACCAAGAGGACTACGGAAAAGGTACGTTTTTTAAATAATCGTCATCTTGACTTTTCTCCCCGCTCTCACTTCGTGATTAAAGTCCGCCATTTTAGGTAGTAGTTGAATAGGCGTTAACTTGTGTGTTTTGGTAGGTCCGATGGCTGCAATACGGAAAAAATTGGTTATTGTCGGTGATGGAGCCTGTGGAAAAACATGTCTGTTAATTGTATTCAGTAAGGATCAGTTTCCAGAGGTGTACGTACCAACCGTGTTTGAAAATTATGTAGCAGACATTGAAGTCGATGGAAAGCAAGTTGAACTCGCCTTATGGGATACCGCTGGGCAAGAGGATTATGATCGTCTACGGCCCTTATCGTATCCAGACACCGATGTGATTTTAATGTGCTTCTCGGTAGATTCGCCAGATTCCTTGGAAAATATACCTGAAAAATGGACTCCAGAGGTGAAACATTTCTGCCCAAATGTGCCAATTATTCTGGTGGGCAACAAAAAGGACCTGAGAAACGATCCTAGTACCATTAATGAACTAAAGAAAATGAAACAAGAACCAGTCAAACCTCAGGATGGTCGATCTATGGCAGAAAAAATCAATGCTTTTGCTTATTTAGAATGTTCTGCTAAAAGTAAGGAAGGTGTTAGAGAAGTATTCGAGAATGCTACTAGAGCTGCTCTGCAGGTTAAAAAGAAGAAGAAGCATCGTTGCGTAATATTTTGAGTCATGTATTTTATATTATCAATAATCGTTACGTGTGTTTATTAATTTCAAGGGGGCTTCTGCATGATGTATTGACTAACAAAAATAAAACCCCTCATTTTCTCTTCATTTTTCTTTTGTTCAATTTCCTTTCCTGCCAGTGGACAAATATAATTATGGTTTTTAAGTTATATTTTTGTATGTAACAATTTCATGTATATTCCAGATATGAAAAATAGTTGTAAAGATGAGTGTCCAATGCACAAACTTTACTGAACGTCCACGTAAATATTCTCTAGTTCATGCCTTTCAGTTTAGTATCTACAGAATGTTTTGAGGTTTATAAAATGAGCATTAGATATTGTATTATACAAAATAATCCATGGTGCATATAGAGTCAACTTTATTTTGAAAGAAGTTGACAATTACAAATTTAAGAATATCTCTTGATTTAGTATTTCTGAAAATTTATTTTATTTCCGGACAACTTTAATAGTATTGTATTACGCAGGTTGTCTGTAATTGTAATAGCTTTAAATTTTTCCATATGATGTATTCTAAAGGTAAATAAATTGTTTTCCTATAATATTGTGTCCTTGAGTATACATTTTCTTTATATTTGTGAATGTGTGATAGTAGTGCATTTCTGAATGATTCATTTAAACAAGCCATCTCATGGAAATTTACTATATATTGTCATTATGACTTGATGCTTCAAATTAAATAAAAACCATATATATTCTCTATTTCATTGTTTCTAATTGTATTCTTTGAACTTTGATTTAATAATCTGAAAAATCTAAAAATGCCTTAAGAAATTACTTTCCTAATCATACCCATGGAATTATATCTTTGAAACTACAAATTAAATAGGGATTATGTATCTTATATTAAGTCGTTCCTTCTATTTTTGAAAAGATCATTGTGGCAGTTGTTATAGCTTAATGATCCATAAAACATCTACAGTGTGTGTCACATCAAGCTTCAATTAGAAGGTAGAGCTGAAGGAGTGAAGTTATTGAAAAATTTATCATGTAAAAATGTTAGATGTTAATGCATTAAGCTTTTTTGGAATAATTTTGAATATACGAGGTATCCAGTTGCAGCTGACAGCTGTTTTTTATCACTTTTATTTGTAACTTTTGTTACTGGAGTTTCGTTCTGTGAGGAAATTTTCAAATTAATACAAACAGGTTATTGTATTACATAGAAAGTATTATTTTTCATTCCATATTTTTATTTCATCTTAAAAGTACTTTTGGAAAAAAAAAAGATTTTATGGGTATATACCAAGTGGTTCAGAAGTTGAGCTAAAAATAATGTTAAAAAGGTTGATCTATTTATTAAAACACATTTTAAGAGTCTTGTTATGAGAATATTCTGAAAATCTAGTTATTTCATTATCGAATAATGAATTAACCACAAATTTTTAATACTGGATGAATCAAAATAGAAAAACCGGTTTTTCAAATGGAAGAATCACTTAACATTTTTTTCAAGGTGTGATTTTTCTCTGAAAACTCTTTAGAAAATATCGGATTATATAGATAAGTACCTCCAAAAGTTGAGAGTTTCAAAATATATTATTTTCAACATTAAATGA